GAGGATATACAGGTTACTGCAAATTCCCATTTTAAAAGAGGTCATCTTGGAGCCAATGGTGGTGCAGTGGTCAAGGTGCTGGACTCCTATATGGCTGACTGTGGTTTGAGTCCCAGACGTGCTGGGTACATGGAGAGAGGAGACTGGAGAAGGGATTGCAGCATAGTCATCCTCCCTGGGAGGGATTTCTCACTTTCTCTCTGTCTCTCTCTGGCAAATGCACATGCCCTATGGCACAAAACTTAAGGGAAAGTTTATCTCAGCATTTTCATAGATCAAGACCTTATAAACCACCCACATTCCATCTGTGTCATCAGATCCATACTCATGGATGTGCCCAGACACCGTGTGAGGAGCTGCTGGAGAGCACAAAACGTGGGTTCTGAAACCGGGTGTGCAACAGGTGTGGGAATGCATGCATAGGAATGGTGTCTGTGTAAAGTGAGGTTAGGCATAATTTTTATTACTAACTGTATTTGTGAAACATTCTTTGTTTTAATTCTTTTTTTAAAACTAGGCTGAAAACAAAGCGAGACAAAGCAAAAGCACTAGGCCATCCCCACGGGCAGTGGTTAAGTGCTATGCTGGGGAGGTGATCCCACGTGGCTCACTGCAGCTGCACTCTGGTCCTGGTGTGGCATGCCAGGTGCCTGTATCGAGAAATGCAGGAAAGGGACCAGCAGTTAGCATAATGGCTGTGTCGCTGGACTCCCATGTAGTTGACTGCGGTTCGAGTCCCAGACCCTGTGGCTTAAACTCATGCCGGGCACATGTGCATGCGTGCCCAGGATCCCGAGAGGAGAATGGAGGAGAAGGGATTGCGGCGTGGCCATGCCCCCTGGGGTGATTTCTCGCTTTCTCTCTCTCTCTCTCTGTCTTTCTGGCAAGTGCATGTGCCCTATAGCAAAAAACCTCTCAAAAAAAAAAAAAAAAAAGAGAGAGATGCAGGAAAGAGGACTGTGCTGTGACCAGACCCCACTGAGGGACGCTTTCTCTCCTCTCTCTTCATTATACATATGCACCCTCTGACATTAACAAAGAAAAAATACAGGCACCAGCAGTTAGCGTAATGGCTATGTCGCTGGACTCCCACGTAGTCAACCACGGTTCGTGTCCCAGACCCAGTGGCTTACGGTCACTCCAGGCACGTGTGCATGCGTGCCCAAGATCCCGAGAGGAGAATGGAGGAGAAGGGATTGCGACATGGCCATCCCCCCTGGGGGTTGATTTCTCTCTTTCTGTCTCTCTGTCTCTCTCTGTTTTTCCAGTGAGTGCATGCACTCTAAAGCAAAAACCTCTCAAAAAAAAAAAAAATACACATGCACACACAGCCCCCCTCCCCACGTTTAAAAATTCACTGAGTTCAAAAGAATACTCAAAAGAGTCCTCCTTTCATGCCAGTTCCTTAGCCTCCCTCCCCAGAGAAGGACTTTTATATTCAGAGCCTCTTTTTATAATCAGAAACAAAAGGACATTTGCATCTTGATAAATGAATACACTCTTTGTTTCTGGGTTTGCAGCTTGACTGTGGAGAGTCTTAGGGCTGGGAAAGATGTCCGCATTGGAATCTGAGACTCAGCATTTTAAATAATTGCTCTGCCACTTGGTGTGGTCAAACAAGTCACCACAGCTCTCCAAACCTGGGCTTTCTCCTCTTCAAGATGGAGGCAAAGCCGCGCTCAAGGCTGACTGAGATTAGATGTGATGCTCTCAGGGTCCCTTCGTGCCGTTGGGCTCACACACACATGCAGTCATTACAGCGACGGCTGCTGGCGTGTGGCGCGTGAACCGATGGTCCTCAGGAGTGTGGATCAGACAATGGGACGTCCGTCCCTTTACTTGGCACGGAACAATTTCTGAGGTGGAAAGCAGGAATATGAAAATGCCCGGCGTTGATGTGGGCTTTTGGGAACCACAAATCCCTCTGTACCCGGGTCCCTGGGGGTGCGGAGGTTCAGTGAGGAACCGGCCGAGATGAGGTTCTGGGGCTAAGCAGGCCACGATGTGAGGCTATGGGCAAACCGAACACGCATGTTCTCGAACACTCAGAGAGAGTGCGCCCCAACCAGTCGGGACCTCGAGCTGCACCCAGGAGTAAGGAAGTGAACATGCAGCCATCCTTGGTGCTGAGCCCTGGGGAGCCGTCGCCCATGGGTGAGACCCTGCCTGCGTGCACTGACCTCTGCTCTGGTTTGGGGAACAGAACTTGGAGCTCTTGAATGACCATCAAGGGGCTGGGGGCCGAGCAAGGTCAGGCGGGGCCAGGTGCTGAATGTGTTGAGCCCTGACTACATGTGAGACAACTTAGACACTTATTTTATTTACTTACTTACAATTTGACCAGAGAGAGGAGAGCAGGGGAAGGGAGAAAGCAAGCCACTAGGTGTGGGACTCAAACCATGGTTGGCCATGTGGGAGTCCAGCGCCTCAGCCGCCATGCCACCTGCTGGTCCCATACACATATCTTTCTCTTCTCATTTTTTTACATTAGAAGGTGCTACTGCGCCGTTTGCAGATGAAGCCCTCAGGCTGGGGGAATTAGTGACTTTATGAAGGCCACCCAGCTACCAAGTGACGGTGCTGCCACCCAGACTCAGGCTGACTCACCTCCAGCTGGCACCTTTCCGATCACTCCGAGCTGGCTGCCAAATTCCATCGCCTCGGCTTGGGCTTCAGGGAGGAGGTAGCTTCGTACCGTGGAAAGGCAAAACCGCTCTCTGAAACGAGGACACTCGGAGTCAGTCCTTCCTGTTGGGGACCAGGGGGGATCTCTGGGACTTGGCTCTGTTTTCTACAAAGCGGGGATCATGACACTTGAGGCACTGGTTGCCTGACAGATCACATAGCCCTGAAACGTCAGAGCTGTGTAAATGTTGGCCATGCTGCTTAGGAGCTAGCCGTTTAGGATGGCTCCGAAAGAGACCTTGCCGAGCAAGGTAGGAGAGGCAGGGGCTGCCCTTAGCTTGAGCCTGGAGAGACCAGAGGAGAGTGGCCTACGTCACCTGGACCAGGCTGGCTTTGCACTGTACTTGGTATCCTGAAGAGGATCAGTAAACATTACCTGAAATTAATCCAGGCACTGCACAGAAGTGGTTTGGATAGAATTAATCCTTTGGTTAAATATTTGTTATTTACTATGTAGGGTTCTGAGCTGGCCCCTAGGGAGACAGAAGAAAATGAAACAGTTCTTTATAACATGAGGGAGAGGGGGAGAAATCGAACTAGAGACTTTCTAGAACTGCTGAGGAGCAGAGATGAAAGCGCTCCTGTCTGACAGAAGGTTACCCTGCAATCAGGGCAGAGAAACCAGAGCCACCACAGAGTGGGACACACCTGCAGGTGGTCAGAGGGAGGGAAGATGCCTGCGTGGGGGCAAGAGAGGAGAGGCAGGCAAAGGGGACATCGCTGGGAGCTGAAGATCCACGGTCCTTTGACTTAACGTGTAAGTGGTCAGTGGAGTTCAAGACCCGGGCTGTGGGGAGTTCTGAGGATCTGGAGGAAGGAGGCGGGCCGGGAAGAGGTGGGGTGGGAGGCATGGGTGGGATGCTGAGGAAGGGGATGAGAAGGAGGGAACTGAGAATTGTTGAGCAAGGAGCTCTTTGGGTAGGGAATGGGCCAGTAGGTAGGTTTCCCTTCATGACATGGGGAGAGCCAATGCATGAATGCTTTATATGTCACTGGTCATTTAATTTTTCTGAAACTCAATTTCATCCATAAAAGGAAGCTGATTATATGTATTTCTTATGGTCTTTGTGTGAAGATAAAGTTTATCTAGAAAAGAGATTGTTGTATGAAATTTAAAAGTAGGAGCTGGTGGGGCCAATGAGTAGCATGGTATTTAAGGTGGTTGGATCTCACTATGGCCAACTATGTGGTTCAAATCCTAGACTAGGCAGATTGCAAAACACACTGGGTGTGTGCGTGTGTGTATGTCCAAAATCCCAGAAGAAGGGACAAATGGAAGAGGAAGAGGAAGGGCTGTGGGTGACCATGAAGAAGCGCCCCATGGGGGATGATTCTTTCTCACTTTTTCTCTTTCTCTTGTCTCCAGCGAACCTGGTGCCCTCCAGCAAATGACAAAAAGAAATACATATGGCCTGGAGGACCACCAGGAAGAAGCGGGCTGCTACCCTGCTTACCGGCTGACTATGTGGCTGTCACGAGACTTTCTTTCTCAAGGTAAGTCCAGGCCTGCAGGTCCCTAATCACTTACCCTGCTCCGCATACTATCGTCACTGCCAATCAGTTGTTTGAGATGGCTCCTGCCAACCGACTCTCATCCAATCTTGTCCTCCCACATGTCCACAAGACGCTCCTTTCTCACCTTTGCCCAGCGTTGCCTCTTTCAGAACGCCTTAATGTACTGTACCCTTTTACTAGTATGAAAGACCCTAGTTTTTTTCTTTTCTTTTATTATTTGCCAGAGGGCACATGCACTCACCAGGGAAAAATAGAGAAGAGGAGAAAGCACTCCTCCCAGTGGGTTTGGTCATGCCACAGTCCCTTCCCCTCCATTTTCCTATCTTCTTGGGATTTTGGACATGCACACACATGTACCTGCTGTGTTTCTCAAGCCTCCAGGGCTGGGATTCAAACTGTGGGAGACCATGTGAGACCCGGTTCCCTTAACCATCAGGCTGTGGGGCTGCTCTACAAGACCCTAGCTTCTCAGCGTCAGTGGGCATGTTGCCATTCCCATCTGGCCTTGCTCCTGGGGTCTGACTGCACATCCCAGAGTCTGCCCCTTATTTGATGCTAGCTCAGTGAGGCCAGGAGATTCCCTTTTCCCTTTTAGCTTTTGCTTTACAGTTTTTCATTCTGGCTTGACAGCTGGAAGGAGAGAAGGAGATCTACGTCAGAGCATACGCGCCCCTGCGGGCACACACAAGAATGTTTCAAGCCTGGCTGTGTAATGCAGAAATACTGGAACCATCTCACGGCTGAAAATCACTCAGGTGTGTGTGCCTGTGTGCCCAAAGTCCTGAGAGGAAAATGGAGGAGAGAGGATGGCAGTGCAGCCAAATCCACTGGAGGGGAGAGTGGTTTCTTACTTTCTTTCCCTGTCTCTCAACTCAGTGGATAAGTGGATTCTAATGTGTTTACAAGATAGAATACTATGCAGCCAAGAAAAGGAACAACAGAACTGGAGGCATCAAGAAGAACAAATCCCAGGAACATAACGCTAAATGAGAAAAGTCACAGAAAAATACTAATTCCTTTTATCTAAAGTTTAAACACATGCAAAACTAAAAAGGTACCTTTCAAGGACATAGATATGAAGCAGACATATAAAGAAGAGTAAGAGTAAGGCAAGTAAAAGGCAGAAGATTCAGAAATGTGGTCATCTTTGTGGTGAGAGGAAAGGCAATGGGGTGGGCCAGGCAGGTGCAAGGAGGTTCCAAAAACTGGTTGCAGGTGCAGGAGTTTTATTTTACCATTATTCATGACACTTTGTACATATTTACTAAGCATTTAAAAAATCTACTTAATAGCAATACAATTCTTTTTTTAAGAGATATTTTTGCTATAGGGTGGTGTGCACTCACCAGAGAGACAGAGAGAATTAGAGAGACAGAAAGCCAGAAATCATCCCCCAGAGGGATGGCCACAGCACAGTCCCTTCTCCCCCGTTCTCCTCTTAGGATTTTGGGCACATACACACACATGCCTGGCATGAGTTTTAAGCTGCTGGGTCTGGGACTCAAACCGCCATTGACTATGTGGGAGTCCAGTGACATAGTCATTAAGCCATCTGCTGGTCTTTACTCTTAGTTCTTTTTTCTTTTCTTTTCTCTCTCTCTCTCTGTGTGTGTGTGTGTGTGTGTGTGTGTGTGTGTGTGTGTTAGATTTATCTTTAGCAAATAGCAGATAGTCTTTTTTTTTTTTTTAAACTCATCTGAGGCAGATAACATTTTTTGAAGGTGACTGTACAACCTCTGCCTATCCCAGAGTGTCACTGACATTCCATTGACAAGGGAGTGTATGAGTCTATGTTCTCTGCCCTTCATCTGGGGAGGGGCCGGGGAGGTGACACACGAGACTCAGGTGGGTAGGCTGCAAAAGGGGGTTGTTCTCAGGACACACACCTGGAGCCTGGGGCTGCAGGAAAAAGGAACAGACACCCTGTGGCTGCCGTGCAGGAGGCACCATGCAAGGGCCATAGCCAGCCAGGGAAAGCAGCCCGAGGGACCTGACTAGCAGTCGCCTCAGCACTGGCGCCTGGAGGCAAGTGAGGAGCCTTCGAGGTGAGCCATTCCCAGCCAGCACCTAAATGCAGAGTGAGGAGGAGACTAAGGGGCGAGGGAAAGGATTGCGCATGGAAAGGAGAGAGTAAGGAGCAGTGAAAGGACAGAGAGATGACGAAACCAAAGCATATACTCAGGGGTCAGCCCTGTAACACAGGGGTGCAGTGCATTAGAAGCCGGATACCTCCTGGGCAACCAAGGTTCAAGTCCCAGCCTTGGAAGCTTGAGAAACACCCCGTGTGTGTGTGTGTGTGCTCCAAATCTCAATGGGATGGAGAAATGGAGGGAAAAGGGATTGCAGTGTGACCAGGCTCCACCGAAAGGGTGCTTTCTCTGCCTCTTTTTCTCTCTCTGGTGAGAGCATATGTCCTCTGGCAATAAAAAAAATCATAATATTCATAAGAAAATAAGTATTCCAGAATGTAGGGGGTGAGAGAAAAAAGTAGCGGCCCCCTTGGGGCTGCCGTGCAGGAGGCACCATGCAAGGGCCATAGCCAGCCAGGGAAAGCAGCCCGAGGGACCTGACTAGCAGTCGCCTCAGCACTGGCGCCTGGAGGCAAGTGAGGAGCCTTCGAGGTGAGCCATTCCCAGCCAGCACCTAAATGCAGAGTGAGGAGGAGACTAAGGGGCGAGGGAAAGGATTGCGCATGGAAAGGAGAGAGTAAGGAGCAGTGAAAGGACAGAGAGATGACGAAACCAAAGCATATACTCAGGGGTCAGCCCTGTAACACAGGGGTGCAGTGCATTAGAAGCCGGATACCTCCTGGGCAACCAAGGTTCAAGTCCCAGCCTTGGAAGCGCTTGAGAAACACCCCGTGTGTGTGTGTGTGCTCCAAATCTCAATGGGATGGAGAAATGGAGGGAAAAGGGATTGCAGTGTGACCAGGCTCCACCGAAAGGGTGCTTTCTCTGCCTCTTTTTCTCTCTCTGGTGAGAGCATATGTCCTCTGGCAATAAAAAAAATCATAATATTCATAAGAAAATAAGTATTCCAGAATGTATTTCTGAGCATGTTATTCATAAATATGTTTAGGAAAAGGGAACATTCTTCGCTGATACATTCTAATTCAGAAATACACTTAAGCATGTGTTTACACTAGAATGTGTTCTGTAATATTAAGGCTTCTTCTGGATATATTCTTTTCTGTCCCCCCTTCCCCTTCTCTTTGCCCCTCAGGCTTTCCTGTGCTCTGACCCGCCAAGTTCCCCTTTCTCTCATTCAGTCTTTTCCCTTCTTGCCCCAATATGTCCTCTTGTCCCAGAGCGGGTCGCTGTCTGCTGTACTGAGTCCCTGTCTTTGTCCTGACAGCTGATCCTCTCTGTCTGCCCCAGCTCCCTCTAGCTCCAGGGGCCAGGAACTGGGACAAAATGAGACAAAGTGAGTGTTCCTCAAAATACTGTCTTGAAGACAAAATGAAGACCAGTCCGCCCAGAGCAAATAGAAATCCTAGGAACTGTCAAAGCCACCCCGGCCAGCGACGTCCCTGTAACTGTTTAGTAGTTGTACCGCCTAAGTTTGGAGACTGGCTCGCTGCGACTTAGCTGCGTGGTGCTCGCCCATTCAGCTGCCCGACCCGCTTCCCCAGACAGGGCGCTTCTCCAGGGCAGGAATTGGGTCTGGTTTATCTCTCTGTCCCCAGTGCCAAGCACAAAGTGGCATGGGCACAGCTTTGTGAAAGAGAAGAATGGCCGCATTGATGGTTTGAACACTTGAAGCCAGGGCCAGAAACTGCTGACTTCCTGCTACCCCGACAGTGACGAAGCTGCAGTTTGCAGTGTGCCTGGCGGTTGGTAGCTGCATAACCTGTTCTTTCACCCAGCGTGGTGGGGAGGACGCTTTGCAGGGACATTTTCGAGGACTGGGCCGACCAGAACCACTCAACTGTAGCTTACACAGGGGCCTCAAGACAGTCAAAGTGAAGCTCCTTCTTGCTGTTGACCAGCAGGATCCTGGGCTCGAACATAAATGCAAGCGACCCTGTCAGCCAGGCCTGGGATGTTTGCAGTTGTGCCGCCCTGGTCCCCACCTGACCTCCTCCCTTCCCCACCCCTTGCACACACAGTGGCTCATGGATGGATCTCCCACCTCCGCCCACCCTGTGGGAGGACGCGGTGTCCTGAGCCAGAAACAGCCCTGACCTCGGGCTCTCACCCAGGATATGAGGCAGGTGGGAACACCGCTCTGTTCATACTGGGTGCTGGTGTAACCACAGGACTCTCACCATGCAGCCGTGACCCAGCGAGGGCCTCTGGGGCAGAGTGGGTGCCCAACTGCATCATGGGCTGGATGCACGGTTAGTGGGGGGACGTTCCCGCCCACAGTCAGCCAGCTCCTCCTTCACACAGGACACTTTTCTCAGAACGGAGCTCTGAAGCATGGAAGCCATCCATCAGATGAGGGGGGCCAGCAGGGGAGCCCCTTGGGGTTGAGGGAGCGTAGGGGCTGAGATGCAGAGTTCTGATGCAGGGTGAGGCTGCCCTGGACTTCCGAGTGGCTCAGGACGGGTGCAAGGCTCTGGGGTAAGAGGGAGAGGGGGACGTGAAGGATAAAGCTAAAAGCACCTGAGGCTGTCACTGTGGCTGTGGGGAGCTCGGGAAAGGTTTCCAGCGGAGGAAAGGCATGAGCAGCTCTTCATTTCAGAAAGATCGTTCTAAGGCCAGCAGGGGCATGACAGTGAAAGCGGCTGGATCCCTCGTGGCCGACGGTACTGTTGGCATCCGGGCTCGGCGGTTTGAGAAACATGCCAGGCTCATGTGCATCTTGCAAGATCCCAAGAGAAGGGGATGATAGAGGAGAAGTACTGGAGCACTGCCGTATGACCATTCCCATAGGGAGTGCTTTCTCACGTTCTCTGTCTCTCTGGCGAGTGCACGTCCCTTTGGGAAACCAAAAAAGAAAGCAAGCTCACTCTGGCCATCTTCATGGAACTTAAACTTTTCGAGACTACTGCCCCAGTCCTGGTAAAAGACGCTGTGGCCTGCCTAAGGGCAGGAGCAGCAGCCAGGGTGTAGGAGACTGAGTCAAGGCCCCTTTACAGATCGGAGCAGACCAGACCTGATGACTCACCTGTTAGGCGGGTATTATGTTCCTGCTGTATTCAAGAGACATGTAGCTGTGTGAAGGAGAGGGGAGGTAGCGAGGCAGGAGGCACGCCATTGTCCCTGTGGGGAGACACACGTATACTCCCCCTCACATGTTCATGAGTGCCCACTGGACTCGTGCACACGGGTGGACACAGCACCGGGACAAAGTGGCAGGTGTGCAGGGAGTGCTCTGTGGGAAGGTGGGGGCAGGAGGGCCTTGGTGTGGGCTGTGTGATGCTGTGGGGAGGCCACCCAGGCAGAGGAATGCATGAGCAAGGAGACAGCAGGTCTAAGCCCAGAGAACCGTGACGGGAGGGAGTAAGAGGGGGACAGAAAGAGAGAACATGGCAAAGACAGCCAGGGTGGGCTGCAGTGAGCCTCGAACACCAGCCAAAGGAGCAGGGGCAAGTAGGTCAGCCAGACACCCACAAGGCTGTGAATAAGACAGAGGTGTGGTCTGAGTGGTGTCACGGTCACATCTGTACCACCCTCAGTGCAGTAGAGGGGACAAGCAGGTGGCTGTTGGCACAGCTGCCATGGGAGACCATGACGCTCTGGATGGGGTTTCTGGCAGGAAGAACGACGCTGAGGGGCAGAGAAGTGAACCGTCGCAAAGGCAGCCTCGAGGGCGCACACCTGCTCATGCTGCTCACTGGGTTCTGCGCCGGCTGCTGAGGACGTGGGCAGACTCAGCTAGGTAGCGAGGACCCTGGGTGTGGCA